TACCTAAAACTGCACTCTGCCGGGAGTGGGTGGCCTGGTGGGGCTCCCAGTGGTGCGGGAGCCTCCAGGAAATGCCAGGCCAGTTACCACCCTGCTGAAAGGTGGGTCAGGGCGCCTTAATAACACCAGCTCCCACAATCGGGTGGGTTACCCTCTAGTAGGGTCCAGAAGGCGGACCCAGGAGAGAGAGTGGGGCTATAGACTCAGAAGCCTAACTTGAAATCTCTTGACTGGTCAATGCTGGGGCCAGGACCAAAAGGGTCAAAGGGCCAGGGGCCCCCTGTGAGGGATGCCCAGAGCTGAGGGCCTGGGGTTCTGACTGGCCTGGCCAAATGTCCCGGGAGGACCACACCTGTAAGGGGGAACAGCTCAGGGAGCTAGGTAGCCCAGAATGAAGGTGGAGTAGGCTGCTTGAGTGGAGGGATCCAGTTGATTCAGAGGATTCTGGGGGCCCAGAGTGGGGCCAGTGACGTTAACAACTGTGGATGCCATCTGCGAAGCTTGGGCTGCGGTGTAGGGGAGGAACGGAGCTACAGATAGCACCCCCTGGGGCGTCAGGGCCAAAAATTGGGCAGCCTCCCTCCTAATTAACATCCTAATTAGATAACAACAAGGCGTGGCAAGTGAGAAGGTGGGCGGTTGGCCCAGAAACAGGTGGGTGGGCAATTGGTAGACTGGCCCTGAGAAGACCCCCTGTTAGAATAGCCTTAGGGTGCTCTTGGATCCTCTGCTCCACTTGGTTCTTCAGGTGACAGCCATAGCTAGGGACACCTTTCACGAACTCTATCTGGTAAGATGGCTGTAACCCTTTCCTTCAGACTCTGATCTGGCCACCATCATCCATGCCTTTGTAACTTTCAGGCCAAACTATTACAATTTACTGTATGTAGAGCTGCCCTTGAAAACCATCTAGAAGCTGCAGCTGATGCAGAACCCTCTTTCTGATGGGGCAGCTTACCAGGAGTGCTCAAGTGTCTGCATTAGCTCCCTTGTTGGAGCAGACAAACAAAGTAGGATGAGGTGTTCTTTAGGGAGTCTCTGTTTTATCTTGATATGCCAGTCCAATTTAAAGTTGTTTTGTTCTGTCACTCTCTTCATAGTTTCATAGTTGGTGGGGTCAGAAGGGACCTAAGCAGGTCATCAAGTCCGACCCCCTGCCATGGGCAGCAAAGAACGCTGGGGTCAAATGACCCCAGCTAGGTGACTGTCTAGCCTCCTTTTGAAGATCCCCAGGGTAGGGGCGAGCACCACTTCCCTAGGAAGTTGGTTCCAACTCCTAGCCACCCTGACTGTGAAGTAGTGCCTCCTGATGTCTAGCATGAACCTACTCTCAGTCAGCTTATGGCCGTTCTTCCTTGTAACTCCTGGTAGTGCTCGGGGAAGCAGGGACTCTCCCATTGCCTGCTGGTCCCCCTTGGCAAGTTTGTAGGTGGCCACCAGATCCCCTCTCAGCCCTCTTTTGTGTATGCTGAACAGGTTCAGGTCCTGTAGTCTCTCCTCACAGGACCTACCCTGCTGCCCCCTGATCATGCGAGTGGCCCTCCTCTGGATCCTCTCTATGCTATCCACATCCCTTTTGAAGTGCGGTGCCCAGAACTGAATGCAGTACTCAAACTGCAGCCTGACCAATGTCTCATAGAGGGGGAGGATCACCTCCTTGGACCTGCTCGTGATGTATCTATGGATGCATGACAAGGTGAGGTTAGCCTTCTTGACTGCATCCCCACATTAGCGACCCAAGTTCATCTTGGAATCAATAGTGACTCCAAGATCCTTTTCTGCCTCTGTGCTGACAAGGGAGTTCCCCAGCCTGTAGGTATGCTGCTGGTTTTTCCTCCCCAGGTGCAATACCTTGCACTTGTCCATATTGAAACCCATCCTAGTCTCATCCGCCCACCTCTGTAACCTGTCCAGATCTAGTTGTAGCCTGTCCCTTTCTTCTAGCGTGCTCACTTCTCCCCACATCGTAGTGTAATCTGCAAACTTGAACAAGGTGCTTTTCACCCCCTCGTCCAAGTCACCAATGAAGATATTGAACAGTTAGGGCCCAAGAACTGAGCCCTGAGGAACCCCACTGCCCACATCCCTCCAGGTCGAAAATGACCCATCCACCACCACTCTCTAGGTGCAACCCTCCAGCCAATTTGCAACCTATCTGACGTGTAGGCATCAACACCACAGAAACCTAATTTTTTAATGAGGATGGGGTGAGAGACAGTGGCAAAGGCCTTCCTAAAGCCCAGAAAGACTACATCCACCCCAACACCTGTGTCCAGGGCTTTTGTGACCTGGTCATAGAAGGCAACCAGGTTGGTTTGACAGGACCTGCCTCTAATGAACCCATGTTGATTGTCCCTGAGCATACACTCCCCTGCTTGCCCCTCACAGATGTGCTCCTGGATAATTTTCTCAAAGAGCTTCCCCAGGACCAAGGTAAGACTAATGGGCCTATAGTTTCCTGGGTCTGTCAGGTTTGATCTAGAAACCACTACACAAAGCCCAAGCAAAAGTCTCTGTTATGTAACTAATGCCCATCTGCAATGATAAGGAGGAGACAGTCTTAGATAAAGGAGGCTTGAAAACAAAAGCAGAATCAGAGGACTAGGGCAAAGAGCTGATTTGAATATTGAGAATCACACCCCTGGGTGGGGAGAAAGTATGCTAATGAAACATACATGTATGGAAATGAGATACATAGCTAAAACACAGGTATAGAGACATGCTCAGTAAAGAACTCCTTGCGTCACTCCCTTATAACCAATTAGCGAACAAGAATGCTTATGAAGGTCCAATACTCCTGTATAAAAGATGCTTAGAATTAAAAATCTGTGTGCTTGTTACGTGAAATTATTCCGCTTGCACCTTGTATTGCTAGCAATAAATCTTTATACTTTCACCCCTGGTATCTTTATTGGCTTTTGCATACCGGGCACGATCCCAGACTTGAGCTGGGGCTCAACAGGTCCTCTTTCCTCCCTTTTTTGAAAATGGGGACCACATTGGCCCTTTTCCAGTCCTCTGGCACCTCGCCAGAGCACCATGAGTGCTCGTAAAGCTGTGTCGGGGTTCTGCAATAACCTCTGCCAGTTCCCTCAGCACTCTGGGGTGGAGATTGTCAGGACCTGCTGATTTGAACAAATCTTGCTTTTGAATTATTCTTTTTTCTTATTGTAAGTCACCCTGAAACCATGTTAGGAAGGGCGGTATATAAACAGAATGTATAAAAATAAATAATAATTATTTTCACAGAAAACGAGTTTAAAGAAATAAAAAACCAACAGTTAGAGAGGTGTCTTTTTGGGTCTGAACCACCTTCCAATAAAATCAGTGCCAGAATTCTTATTGCATGAAAAGAATTTGGGCTTTTGCCCTCAATTTTTGAGCTGTAGTTTGCACTACTCCTGTCTTTCAGAATTAGTCAGCCATTTCCTACTGGATGTCTGTGACATTTTAATTTTACAGTTCATGTATTGCATTGGTATTTAGGTCTACATAAGATAAAGGCATCTTATTATCAGTATCATCATCATCCTCCCCTTTTTCCTTTTTTTTAAAAGCATTCATTTATGTCACAGTAGATTATAAGGCCATTGAAGAAGAGATAACGAATTGCTGTGTTATTGCACAGTGCCTACCGAAAGGAAGCATCGGTTCTGTTCAAAGCCCTCAAATAGTGCCACAAACTAATCCATTATATCCTTGCACTGAGTCTTGTATCTGCTCATAAATGCATCAACTCTTTTTTTTTTCAGGCTATGCCAGTTATTTCAGAAAAGGAGAAGGCGGGTGAGTAAACATTCACTTGTTTTCTCTTCTTGTATTAGTTTCCTGGAATGTTGGCCTACTTCTCCTAGTGGTAAAAGGCAAGCTTTAGCTAGGCTTTCTTTGGAATGTACAAGATTATAGACCTGACAAATCTCTGTGTAAATATCACTTTATTTCCTGAGTTGGATTTTTTTCTCTCTGTGCAAGAATCATATATCCTATGTGATACTAATACAGATGCTTGAAGATGTTCTCCAAAGCATCAAGTGAAACTCCATTCATCCATTGTATGCTGGGGGTCAATTCTCTACTTTTAAAAGGCTTTATGATTTATTTATCTGAAGTCTTGATTAACAAACAGGGAAGCATATAAGGCTGTTCATCTTAGCTAAGCAAGCAGGATTTCACCCATTAACTGAGTAACTGAATTAGTACTGTCTGTACATTAAAATAACAGAGAATAGTGGTCTTCTGGGGTCTTTAATTGGAGTTTTGTGTTGTATTGTGTTACTTTGGAAAAAAACAATTGAGTGCCATTATCATAGTAAGAGATAAGTTTGGTATCAGTGTCTGGTAGTTAGGTTCTTTGAATGTCATAACTCTTCTGATTTGATTAGCTGGTATGTATTAGAAGACATGCTTGCATATTGTGCAATAATGTAATAAATACTAGAATGCATAGTGCACCAAATGATTTCTAGCTATATAGTGAAAAGTAGAATTCATAAAGGTTTGTTTCATACTTTTGTCCCTGATTCTTCTGATTCTTTTTTGACCAGTGTTAATTATAGCTTTAAAATGATTTTGCAGTGTTGGTGTGAATGCTTAGACACTACTTGGCATTTGATTTTTCTCTGATGTTTATTTATGATAGTTCTTTAGCACTCCTGATTGAGGATGTTTCCTTTCTTGTGCTGGGTAAACAAGGGGGAACAGTAAAATATATGTGCGTGCCTGTGTGTGCATGTGTGTGTACACACACGCAAAATTCATGAAGCAGAATGTGCCCTCAAGCAAGCTGTCTCAGGTATTCACTGGCCAGTTTCTTTGATGAAGTTCACAGTAATTCCCAAAATTGTGCTCAGTATTTAATAAGCCCATAATTTTCCAAATAAATAAAAGGCCCTATTCTTTTTCTTCTTGCTTTCTAGAGAGGCCATATTAAGATTGTTTATATTATATTTCAGGGTAGAAACTGATACCTGGTAAGATGATACCTATTCCTTATTGTATTTTAGAGACTGCTAACTCATTTCAAATGATCTAATAAGAAACCACAATAATGACTTTTGTTCACTATCAGCACTTACTATGCAAGGCCTTCAGATCACTCTAAAAGCCATTAAGAAATCCTCTAAATATGGACACCCAGTACACATAAAGGGCAGGTATTGTGCCCAGAAATATGCCCGCCTTGTTCCCAGCCTGTGTACAAATAACTTGTTTACTGCTGCAATATATAAAGTTACATTTAAAAAATCAGGAATTCATGGTAGCATGGAATTATATAGAAAGATACGATGGTTGTGCTTTTGGGACAGAAGCAGACTGGGATAGATCCCATACTTGTAAATTGTGGTGATCTGACCATATCTAGGATGGATCTCTTTATGGTACCCCAATAGACTGGGGCTGTGCACTGGCTGCAGCATGTACAGATGGTCTGGGGTCCAATCCAGAATGGCCCTGGAGGCAGCCTGCAGGGCTGATCCAGCAGGATGCCTCATGCAACCTGTGCCCCAGACCCCTGTGCTCCTATAGATGTGCAGAGAGCCTGCTTCAATGGAAATCCAGCACGTCAGAGCAGGCTTGATTAATCAAGTCTACTTGAACACAGAAATTGACATGCTCCGGCAGCCTTCTGTGTCATGTGTATCTGTCCCCATGCTGAAAAAATGCCAGTGGGGCCCTTTGGAATAAAACGCATTCAATGAACTTTAATTCAAAGCACACCACTGACATTTTTTCAGCATGGGGACATGTGGGGATGCTGTCACTCGTGACACACAGACACTTTTAATTAGAACAGCTCACTTGTTAAAGCAACCGGTGCTGTCTCCCAAAGCACATGTAAAAATACGCCCTGTGCTGTATGGGCATCAGTCCAGAGCACTACCTGTTGCTTGAGCTGCCAGGGGCTACAATTAGGCCTTTTAGCTTAGGCTTATGTTTCAAAATGCAGGTGTCCCAGGTTCTTCAGTACCTGCTACTGATGCCCCACTATGTGAGCTTCATTGCTTATAACTCAAGAGAGAAGGAGCACTGAATGACATATGCCAATATTCCAGAAAAGAAGATCAAGAGAAATGTTATGCCACTTGGCATAAAACTGCATACAGGTCTACACGTAAAGTGTTAAAGGAAAAAAAAAGGGCCTTTGAACTTCAGTTTTCAATTCAACTGACTAATAACACTTCTTTAGTCTATATTTCTACAAACAGACTCAAATTAAAGCTATAATACATGAGCAAAAATACACTGTTATTTCTTTGGGTCATGAACAGTGCGTGCCCCCAGTGGCTGGGGGGGCACAGCTGCACAGCTGCAGGAACCCAGCTGCGATAAGCTGAGAGCTCCCGCAGACGCTGCCAGCACTGTTGGGGGTAGGGGGAGGGGTGAACACCCACAGGTGCTTCTGGCAGTGTCACCAGTGGCCAGCAGCGATCATGGGCCACCTGCAGATGCCGCTGGAGGTGTCGGTGACGGGGTGGCAAGTGGCAAATGCCTACGGGTGCCTCTGACAGTGTTGGCAGCACCTTTTTGCAGGGGGTGCACCGCCACACTCACGGGGTGTATGTGCACCCACGTGCACCCCCTACGCATCACCCCTGCTTTGGGTGATGTTAGGAAAAATCAGTCTATAGGGAGAAGGATAAACAAGTTCAAATAGAATAAATATTGACTTGAAATTTTCCCTAAAAGCTAAAGCAAAACTTATTTTCACATTTTGAAAAGTTAATAATAATACTTTATTACTGATCCCTTTTCCCAACATATTATTTGCTTTCGTACTGGACTGGAAAGAGAAACATAGAAATAAAGAGCGAAGCTATTATTTCAGTGTTTCTGCTTTAGAAATACTGGAAATATTATTAAAAACCTGTTTTCACAGGACTTCCTATTCTGTAGATTCCAGAAATTCAGAAACTTTCAAGTTGTTTTGAATAAGCGGCTGAATGTTTGGGTTCTTAACTGAATCAAGCTGTCAAAGCTTTGGAAGTTAACACATCACTAATCATATTTAGGTGCAGTTAATGCTTAAAATTAAATATTTTGCCCTTTTTATATTTTTTCCAACTTGGAGAACGGTTTACATCAAAGATAATATCCCAGCTAGAATACTTTAAATTAAGCTATTTTTAGTTTCAGAGCTTAGTCAAGATATAATTTGAAAACATTATTCCTTTTGTTAATTAATAATTCAGGCATGACAAAAATTATTGTGTTTATAGTGAAAAGTGCAGTAAGACCTTAAAATGCCAAATCTCTGTGGTAGAATGCTATATGGGATAATCATCTTTTCTGATGGCCAGAATATTACATGGACCTAATCATATAGGGTCATGATTCAGTTTGTCTAAAGACTACGCACATAAGTAAAGACTTAGATGATGAGAGCCTTAACAGAGGTTTTGTTTTGATTGATTCTATAGACTATGCTGACATTTCCATCTGTGGGAAAAGGTTTAAAATGAATTATCTTGAGGCCTATAGACCTAACATAGTCAAGAAAAGATACATAAAACATACACCTCTTTTCCAAATGCCAGCTGATGAAAATTAAAATGCATATTTTATGCAAGGAACTACAGTGATAGAAGTTTCTCCCACTTTTGCTGGGCAAAAGTGAAAGTAAAGTCTGCACATGATCCACAGGGAGCAGACCAGTGAGCAGACTTGGCTCCCCAGCTGCTGCTACTCAGTTACTTACTATAATGAAAGATCTTTTTTTTCTTCTTTCTTCCTTTCAAAAACAAGGTGCATGTCCTATTCTGGGGTGCACTGTTAGTGAGAAAATACAGTATTCCTTCCACATTCTTCTCATATTTTGGTGCCAGTATGTGACAAGGCTAAGCACAGACATCAAAGAATAATAGGAAAATGGAACAAGCTGCCTAGGGAAGTTGTGAAATGATCTTAAACAGAAACTAGATAGGCACATCTCTAAAACAGTTTAGGGATGGCAAATCCTGCATCTTTGCAGGAGCTTGGACTAGAGGACCCTAGATTTAGGCAGAATCTGTGTGCATAAGTCCAAATATTTGATTAACCAAAGTTTTGCCTAATCCTCTAGGCACCTGCGAGTTCATAGGTGCATAATTTTTTTTTCCAGGAAAGTTCTCTTACTGCCTGAGGTTCTGTTTCTAGGTGTACCCAGAATGGCACTTCTCTCATGCCTAAGGCCTATTGGGATCCAAGAATTAGGTGTCCCTTGTCTTAGTTCCCTAGATGAGCCTAATCTGCTATGTATATGCAGACAACACCTAACGCATATTAACACTCTGGAGTTCGACATAAAACACAGCTTTATTGTATGGGAAATTAGGGGTGCCTCTACACAAGCGTGATTACAGCATGCTCCAGCAGCCTCCTGCATCTCATTGATCAATGTTCCCCTATTTCAAAATGGTGGTGGGGGCACTTGAATTAAAGCTCATCGAACAAGCTTTAGTTCAAGTGCCCCTGCTCCCAGTTTGAAATGCAGGGACACTGCTACATGAGACCCTGCAGCACTTTAATTAGAGCGGCTCTTGGAGCCACTCTAATTAAAGTTCCACCCCCCTACCCGACCTCTGGCACATATATAAAACTGCCATTGGTGCTTAATTTAGGAGTATAGATTCTGTATCTGGAGGCAGTGTCTAAAAGTTAGGATTAGTACCTAAATTCCCTTGTGGGTCCCCATTTTGCCCTGTCACACACACGTAGGGAACAAAGAGAACCTTGGGTCTGGCTCTGCAGCATGCCAAGTCCTGGAGCAGAGCCAGCAAGAGGGAAACAGTGGGCACGTCTACACAAGA